AAACTTCCCTACAGCTGTTTTCTTCCAGTCTAGAAAAAGTCACACAGATTGGCCTTGGCCTATAAATTATTTGTCTCTCACAAGGCACTTGGAAGCAACATGAACTGTCATTCTCATTTTATATAGATTAAATACAAGGCACAGAACTGTCCAGGCCCAAGGCTGCTCATCTAATTAGTGGCATAGTTGGGAATAGAATTTTGAAATCCTGACCCACTGTCTTTTTGCTCTATGTATGACTTAGCTGGTGACTCATGCATCATGCTTCAAGGGTGAAGTAATGTTTCCTGCCTAATTGTTGTCATTGTCATATTCATTGTTTTAATCCTCTGACTTTTTGCCATACTTCCTTATCTATAAAATTAAATCATACTGAGGCCTTTTTGATCTCTTAAAGGTAAAACTGTTTCAGCATAATCCTATTCTACTTGAACAGTTGAAAAAACATGGATGTGTCTATTAAAAGCAGAGGTGACCTCCAGAAAGGGTTCTGTGGGGTTCAAGCATACCTTGCCATCTATATACTTGTGTGGGGAGATGTTTCTCCTGGTTTGATGTTTTAGAATGCTATTCCAGACATCCTATTGCAACATCAGCAATCAGATTTTCATTAACATCATTCTGAAAGTGATGGATTTAATTTTGAATTTCTTCTTGCACTAGAATGATGAATCCACATCTGTAGGAAAACTATGTACTGGTCTTTTGTCAGAATCAACCTGGATTGTTAAATACCTTTCTGTATTCTCCAGTGTATGAATATAGTATGACATCTGTGTATTTTACATCCTTTGTTGCCGGTCTGATAATATAATTGCCTTGCTCCAATCCAAGGCACTGTAGGACATAACCAAGTATGGTACACACAATGTAAATGTGAGCAGACAGTTAAGGCTTACATGTGCTATTCAGATAGCAGAAGCAATTTCAAACTATCATTGGTTCAATTCATGTTAATTAATGAATTAGCCTCAGATAAACTAATATATTTTCTTTGTAATTTATAGGTTCTATTAATCATAATTGAGTATTTCCTAACATGGATTCTCTGCACATGGAGAGATTTAAAAAAAAAAAAAATTTAGTCAGGACTCCCACCTGAAGGAATTGTAGAATTAAACAACAAAAATGAATTAGTTTGGGTTTTTTCCAAACAAAATTATTTTATGTCAAAAACATTTTTGTCTAATGGTAGGATGTGTTACTGTGAAGATTATAACAAGATTTGCTGTTAATCTACCAATAATACAAGTCCTTGGCATTCCAGATTCTTCTGTGGCTCTTGTTATATTCTGCAATGTTATTTTTCTTTCCTTTTAGAGTTTGAACTTGGTAAACACGGAATTGAATGGCAGAGGCCAGAGTGGATGAAAATTGATTATATTTAAATTAAATTATTAAATTAAATAGAGGTTTAATTTTAAAATATAAACCTATTTAAAATTAAATTTGAAATAAACAACATATGTCAAATATTAAACTGATTTAGAATCTATTAAAATCATTTAAATTAAATAAAAAATAATAGTAGGTAGTGCTTGTTTGATGCCAAGGTTTAAAGGAAGTCAAACCACTGAATTGATGCAAGTTGCTGGCTAAGCACTTGGAAGTGGAGTTTTTTGAAGGGTTTAACAGCTTTTGATAGAAGCAGCCTCTTCTGAAGGGGCAGACAGAGTATGTTCTTCATTTCATTTCATTCAAGTAGATCATAGGGTCGTAGTGTTTAAGGCTAGAAGAAACCACTAGTTCATCTAGTCTGGTTTCCTGTATACCCTAACACCTGCACATTTCATTTAACAATTGAAATTAGACCAAAGTGGTACAGCCTACAGGAGATTAGACTACCACAGAGAATGGGGAAGACTGAGGTACCCCGGAGCTCAAGTTCCCCACATTGATAGGGAGATGATTAAGTGAAATATATCTTGCAGATAACCCTTGCAAGCAGCCTGCACCCACATGCTGCAGAGGAAAATGAGAAGACCCCAAGGTCACTACCAGCCTGACCTGGGGGATACATGCCTTGCCACATATGGTGATTGGGTAGAACTTGAACACATAAGCAAGAACCAGTCAGCCAAACACAGGGATGGCCTTACCATGAGGCGAACTGAGACGGCTGCCTCAGGTGCCAGGCTGTGAGGGGGAGGGGGGATGCCCCTAGGACCCAGAGTATAGAAAATGGTGTCTGCTGCTGGTGCATATGTATTCTCTCGGCTCTAGGTGCACATTTCATTAGTTACATTTGCTGTTCAGGCGTTTGAACAAGGCATTTTAAGTTGTTAGTTCTCCTGTATTGGGGTAGTAGTAGAGCAGTGCCATGAGAGGAGCTAGAACAGGAAGAAGGCAGAATTTAGACCTTTCAAAGTTTTGGCCCAAGTGAGGGGGTAAGGGGGCGTCATTTGATTTCCCTGCTTCAGGTGCCAAAATGTTGTGGGCCGGCCCTGAGCATGAGAGAGCTTGGTGCCACTCACAGTTCTGGCCTTTCCCATCCCATCTAATGTCTCATCCAGTCATATCTATCCCTGGTGCTTCAGAGGAAGGTCTTTTTGCTAGACTGAACCTGCTAAGCTTTTCCAAAATCCTCTCAGAAGATACATCTTCCAGTTCCTTGATCACCTCTTGGCATCTGTTCTCATTTAAATCTTTCTTGAAGGTGGGTGACCAGGCTTATACAGAGTATTTCAAATGAGGTCCCATCAGGGCACTGAAAAATGGCATTAGCACTTCTATAAATGCCTTGCCTAATACAACCTTTGATCACATTTGGCTTTTTTATACCCCTGTCACTTTGGTGGGTCTTGTATCAGAAATTTTTATTGCATGATTTTGCATTTAGTATTGTTGAATTTCATCTCATTTCAGTCAGTCAGGTCTTCAACTTCATCCAGATCTTTGTGTATCACATTGCAATTCTCCTCTGTATTGACAGTATCTCCCAGTTTTGTATCCTCGGCAGATTTTATTTTCACATCCCTGCTTAGCACATTAGTCTGCTTAAGTGACACTTTTATTCAAAGTTTAGAAACCAGTTGGGAATTTAAACTGCAGGAAAATTTGTTTTCCCCCCTCTTCTAATCTATGTATGATAACTAGCTGTGGAAGGGTGAGATCCATTACAGCTAAAATCTTCAGGTCAAGGCCACTGATGAGGGGAGGAAAGGGGAGGGAGTGGTGGCAGTTGTCTCAGAGCCCAGCAATTCAAAAAGACCCCAGGGCTCCTGGCTCTGTCAGCCTCTGCTGTGGCACTGTCGGAGTGCTCTGGGTGGTGTGGAAGGCTGACTGCAATGGCCCTATCCCTTTGGCCAGAAGTCCTGCCCATTTTGGGAATGTGGAGCTGACCTTGCCCAGGGGCCCACAGAGACTGTTGGCTCCTCTGCTTCAAGGACATGGTGACCAGAAATAGTCAGTGCAATTAATTAACGATTGATAATACTGCCTTTTTTAATAAATCAGTTTTAAATGCAAAACATTTTATAAACTTACTGTCCAGCACAAGTAGCATTGTTTTATATAACAAATAAGTACATTGTAAATGCTGCTTTGCACAGTTTTTATTGAGTTGATTTCCAGTCAAACTCAGTTAAATAAATCACAAGTATAAAATGAATAATCTAGTATTGGTTGGATCTCCCTGGTTCGGCACTCTTGGGACCTTACCAGTCCCAGCTCAAGGATTCTACCTAACCAGGGGAGGTAATTTCTGGCCTCCCTGCCACCAGCCCTCTCCAACCCTGGCCTGACAGCTAGCTTCCTAGCCAGCTTCCCCCTCTTGCTGACCTCCGCTGCTCTGTCAGCCCCTGCTGCCCTATTGGGCAGCCCTGCTGCCATTGATGTCTGGTAGCCTAGGCCAGTAAAGACTTTCTCTTACTGGAACATCCATAAGAATATAAGAACAGCCATACTAGGTCAGACCAGAGGTCCATGTAGTTCAGTGTCCTGTCTGCCGACAGTGGCCAATGCCAGATGCCCCAGAGGGAGTGAACACAACAGGTAATCATCACGTGATCCCTCTCCTGTCATCCATTTCCAGACCTATCCTCCATTAACTTATCTAGCTCTTTTTTGAACCCTGTTAAAGTCCTAGTCTTCACAGCATCTTCTGGCAAGGAGTTCCACTGGCTGACTGTGCACCAACCTTCCAGACCATAGATGTTGCTGGATCAGAGAGTCCAGGTTCAGAAAGTTTCAACCTGTACAGTGGTTCCAAGTGGAGTCCTTGAGGTCCTTGTGAGTTTACCATGGGTTGTGCATGCTTGAGCACACTGGAAGACTATTCCAAAACTTTTGAACCTGGAAGATGTTGTTTATTCTCCACACAGCATGGTGTATGCTGCACTTCTTAGCCTTAAAAATATGTAAACATTGAGGTTCCAAATAAATGTAATTTAAGCTATATAATTGCTTAAATAAATATATATCGATGTATACATACTAGGTATCCTCTTAGTGAGCAAAAATAGGCTCCAAATTGAATGTAAAGGCTATAATTAGTTGCAAATCAACATGTTTTAAGGGTTACCAAGAATCAACTTTTCTTTAGGCAAAGAACTAAAATATACAAATCAAGCCACTTAAAATCAACGATTTATACCAAAGTTTCGTGCTTGCTGATATAAAGCATGATTAAAATTTATGATTAAAATGGTTTTGATTTAAATCAGTCCACTTACTAGAGGCTTTCTTGGAAATCTTCAGTACCTTGATGACTCAGTCCACTGATTAGATTTTAATGATGATGATGTATTATTAGGGAAGCAAATAAACCAATTTTCATCCCCCCTGCAAGATTTTTTTATTGAACAATGATTAACTGCTAATGTGCATATTGTCTTAGTTAAATTAATGATGTCCTCAGCTCGTCTCTTAGAAAAGGAAATGCCCAAAGTCAGAGGCTACTTGGAAAGTGAAAATCTGATCTGAGGAGTCTCCTTTTAACATTCTAGGGTTTTAAGTGTAAAGAAGCATTTGTTGATATTGTATTTTCATCTTTCTTGTAGGTGCCTGAAATTATAAGCTCCATTCGGCAGGCTGGAAAAATCGCTCGTCAGGAAGAGTTTCAGAATAATCTATCTGAAGTTGAAGACCCTTTTTCCAAAAAGTTTGAGGTCTTGTTCTGTGGACGAATGACAGTAGCACACAAAAATGCACCCCCAGCGCTAATTGATGAATGTATTGAAAAATTTAACCATGTTAGTTGTAGCAAAAAATTGGAATTTAATTCATTGTCCCAACAACATGAAGCTGTCAATAATTCCGGAGGATTATCCTTCAGTGATAAATTGCGATCTGTTTTCCAACCTTTGGTCACCGAAGAAGAGGAAAGAAGACCAATTAGGAAATCTTGCTCTCAGCCTGGACTGCGTTCTTTATATTTTAAGAGAGACTTGCAAGATAGGAGCTGGAGGAGTAACAGTTTTGCCAGCTCTTTTGATGAAACTGAGATTTCATTGAACCTAAAACGTCAACTTAACTATGGACACAACGTTGTGCAGCCAACAGATATTGCAGGAAACCGGACTATGTTATTCACGGTAAAACAAGATTGCAACTATTGCTGGCATATTATGTCTCTAAACACTAGATAGGAAATATAAAAGAAATGTCCTACAAAGATGAAAATTCCTCCTTAAATAACTTCCTGCAGTTATTGGAGCTTAAGTTAAACGTAAAATTGTATATATATTTATTTTAAAGTTTTATCATTCTGGGTAAAAACTACATTATCAGAAAAATATTGAGTTAAATGGTTTAAAAACAACACCCTCTAAAACATTCAAAAGAAAATGTTAAGAAATTATTAGGGAATATTATTAATAATGATCTGATGTAAAGACTGGGACTAATTTATTTCTGTGATATTGTATATGTGTTTAGCATAATACACCCACAGCCTTTTTGTCCCGTAACAAACAGTTTAATTAAGGTGCTCTTGCAGTTTAACTCCACCTACTCCCAGTAGTAGTTGGTGTGTACGTGTAATTGTGGGTTACTATGGTAGTTATGAGCATACTGAAGTTGAGATTGGCACCAGATATACAAAATTAACAGGAAGTTATACCCCTAGTTTGGTAGGCCATATGGTTAAAGGTCAGAATCTGAAGAAGATGTGGGTTAGTTTTGTTTCACTTTCCAGTTATATTACAAATTAATTCATGTTTGCAATATTCTGTACAACACTGATTAATTAGATGAAGTATAGCAAACAATATTTTGGCTGGTTAGCTTGAGCTCATCTCTTGAGAACATTAAGTACTTGTGTGCATTTTTTTTGGCTGGCTGTCCCTGGAGATGGTGGCAGCAAGAGACTAGGTGTTGATTCTGTGCTTTTTAGTACTAAAGTTTTTTTTTAAATACTGTTTAGTACTTATCAAATTTAGCCCTGGTCTGCACTACAGAATTAGGTTGATGCCAGCCAGATCTAACCATGTATGTATCTACACTAAAACTTTGCTCCCTCCAATGGAACTATCCTGCTACACTAAGGCTGTGTCTAGACTACATGCCTCTGTCGGCAGAGGCATGTAGATTAGACAGATCAGCAAAGGCAAATGAAGCCGCAATTTAAATGATCGCGGCTTCATTTACATTTACATGGCTGCCGCGCTGAGCTCGCGCGCTAGTCTGGACGTTCCCCCCTGTCGACATCAAAGCCCTTTGTCGGCAGCCCCGTTATTTCTCGTGGAATGAGGTTTACCGGGCTGCCGACAAAGGGCTTTGATGTCGACAGGGGGAACGTCCAGACTAGCGCGTGAGCCGACAAACAGCTGATCAGCTGTTTGTCGGCTCAGCGCGGCAGCCATGTAAATGTAAATGAAGCGGCGATCATTTAAATCGTGTCTTCATTTGCCTTTGCTGAACAAACAAATCTACATGCCTCTGCCGACAGAGGCATGTAGTTTAGACGTACCCTAACTTAATAACACCACATTCACAGGAGGCATAAAGTCAGCATAGACGCTGTATTGCTGACAGTGCAAGTGCTTCTTATGAGGATGCACACTGTCAACACAATGAACAAAGCGTAGATGTGCAAGTTATGTAATTACTATGACAGCTATATTCAGACATAAATTAGGTAAACTTAATTTTATGGTATAGATATGCCCTTAGATTGCATCAGACTAATTTCTTAGGGCTTTCTTATGGCCCTGAGCCATGGACTTCTCTGGAGTAGTGGACAAGATGAGCTGTTAGCAGGGATCTCAGAAGGTTTACACCTACACAATGGAAGTGTAAGCATTATGCCTTGAGGGATGAGATTAGGGCAACAGTAGTTATGACTATTCTAGAATCTGTGCTCTGCAGCTGTACATTGCCTTCTTCAGGGAGGTGAATTTGGTGGGGGGAGGAAGGGAATGGATGGAAATGTGCTCCCCTGCCTAAAGCCATACCTTATGTGCCCTTCTTTCCTAGGCCAAATTCTGTACCTTGAAAATACAATAGCGCCATTTAAAATAAACCTTAGTTTTTAAACAAATATTGTTTTGAATGATTAAACCATGGCAAACATTTGTGGGTTTGAGGGAAGAGGGATATATTTAGGTCTAGCTCCCTGCCCACCCTGGTAAACGTTGGGACTTTCGTAGAACTTCAACTACTAAATTGCCACAACACTTCTTGAAAGAGGCGTGTAATTTAAAACTGTGTTTCGCAGATGTGGAAACTGAACATTTTGACTCAAATGTGTAGGTGCTTCAAACTTGAATGTATAGAGTTAGTTACTCAAATAAGTGACATGACTGTAGATATGGCTTCTCTGAGTGCTAAAGTGAGAGAAGGCATCAAGAATGAATCCATGGGGAAGTTTTAGAACAGACAAAGGGGGCCCAGCTCTCCTTCCCTATACTCTTGGATAAAGGTGTCTTATTTTATGTGCATTCTGGGAATTGTAGGGGTGTGGGGAGGGGGGAGAGGAAGAAAGGGGAGCTCTGTGTGGAATCTACTTTTCTAAGAGGAAAACATCCTAAAATTATCCTGGCTGCAGATACAGTCTTCTGACAATTGGGATCAAGATGCTCCCAGAGAACTGGCACTAAGTTTACAATTTAAATATTTTGGCCCATATCCAGTCTCATGAAAAATGGTGCCAGAAGCTGAAAAATTCTGAACATCTGTTTCACCTTAGCATGTAATGTCTGTCTGGGAAAAAAGCTTCTTGTTCAAACCTGGCAGTGTTTCACAGCAGCTCAAGGTTATTGCTGCAAAACTGGACTACAGCTAAATGTAAATAAAAGATATAACTCCAGTGGCCTTGTGTTTATAGCTTGAGATACATTGCCTTTAAGTGCTGTGTATATCTAACAGCACTTAAAAAACACAACTGTGGGTTTGATGTGTTTCCAGGCTTGCCTTTTGATTTACTGCAGTTTCATCACATGACGTTGATTCAACTGATATGTGACAAGGTCAGGGGAAATCTGAATTTTTGTAGAGTCACAGAACCATAGGACTAGAAGGGACCACAGTGATCATCATTTCTAACCCTCAGCCAGGATACAGGATTTTTCTTGCGTGTAGTTTTGCTGTTCTCTAGTTAAATGTAGGTCCTTTAATATTTCCTTTGCTCATAAAGAAAACAAAATCCCAGTTCAGTATCTTAGAATGCTATAAATGTGATAGTAAGTCCCAGTCCAGCCTTGCATCAATATTTTCTCTCATTCAAAATGTGGTGCTTGTTGAACTATTGTAATTTAAATCTGCATTGGGTCATAGAGTGGAATAATTTCTCATATCCATGGAATATTTTGTAGTTAGAACAAATCTGATGTAATATTTCTTGCAGCTCAGTGTAATTGTTTTTATTTAATTGGTTTTCAGATTGGGCAGTCAGAAGTTTACCTTATCAGTCCTGACACGAAAAAAGTAGCACTTGAGAAAAGCTTCAAGGAAATATCCTTTTGCTCTCAGGTAAATTTTTTACAATAGTTCTGCCATTCATGAATTGTCATGGATTCTCCTCTCCCTAGTCATTCCAAGTGGATCCCCATGTGAGTAGACCCCTTGGCATTCTATAATTTTGTAAGGTCTTCATTTCTTGTTTAATGTTTAGCCTTGTAATGTCTGAGGTCATTACTTTGTTTTCTGTGAAGTAAAACATAACTGGGCCACATCTCCTGTCAAGTTCTGCTTTTATATTCCAGAAGACATGATTCACTGTTGCGCAAGTTCAGGATTCCCTCAGCTATTTTAGTGTGGTGTACAGTGTGTTATCAGTCACTGAAACAGACTGAGCAAACACTACTTCAGAGTTCATTGAACACTCTTCATAAATAACATTCAAACTCAGGTTACTTTTTGTTGTAGACCACACAGATATACACAATTATTGCACTCAGCTTATAGTTAAGGGAATCCAGAGATACACTGTTCCTTACCCCTGTTTCCCCTGCCCCCACAAGCCAGGAGAGGGGAGCAGACCGGGGTAAGGGGGTAGAGGCTGGGGCCACAGCTGAGCGTGAGTCATGGGGATTGAGCCTGAGAGCAGGGACCGGAGCAGAGCTGTAGCTGGGCCATGGTGGGGGCTGGCATCTGGGTGCACTGCCAGGTGTGGCTCATCCCCAGTCCAGGAATGAAGCCATGGCCAGCAGCAAAGGCTGGGGGTGGGGGCTGGGGAGAGAGAAGGACAGGGCTGGTAGCAGAGCTGTGCTGGGGATGGGGACAGGCACAGGGATGGGAGCCAGGGACACAGCAGTGAGCGTTGTCAGGGTAGAACTGAGGTCAAGAAGGAGCTGGGTAGTGCTACCACCATGCCTCTATGGGGGCTAGCTCAGGTCACAGCATTCCTCCAGACATTCCTTCACATTATCCTTGGGCAGCCTGCTGCAGTGCAATCGATCTTACCTCCATACAGAATCACCTTTACTAGCCATCGCAGAAGAGCAGCCTGGCTTCTTTTGAGGAGACCAATGTGACTTCAGGAGACCATGTTTAATACTATATGTTTGTATTGAGGTAGAGTCTAGGATACTGAGTCATGGAGCAGGACCCTGTTGTATTAGGGTGCTGTAGATACACAGAACAAAATAGCCCCAAATAGCTTACAATCTAAATACAGATTGTACATAATCACATAAGAAAGAGCTGGTAGGATAGAATACTAGACAATTTCTCAAAGAAAGCAGGAGATAACACTGGTAAGCATGATAGACAGAGATATTAGCAATGCTTCATTTTTGCCAGGGCTGAGCCTTTAGGCTTCTCAGTTCGTAGTCTGGGCATCTCGGTGCTTTTCTGGCAGTTATGAAAGTAAATAAATAGCTTGAGTCAGGCGCCTCTTTTGTTACCAATTAAGCACTGGCTATCAGCACAGCAGCTGCTTGGCCATTCTGGAATCTTTTTGCTGGCATCACAGCACAGGGGTGTTTTAAGGAGACACTTGAAGAAGAACAGTGAGGTAGTTTTATGCATGTTTACAGGGAACTGCCATGTGCGAAGGACAACAGAAGCAGAGAAATCCTAGTGTGTGTGTGTATGTGTTAACATTTAACACCTTAGTCTTTTGAATCCTGCCTTCCATTTTCAGACCTTGGCTTGGCTTCCTAGTTAAAGATAGAGGTTTTGTGGATTGCTGTGCTCACATCAAGCAGAGTTGATCATGGTGCTGACAAACAGCTGCTGTGCTGGGACATTGGTTCAAATAAATGAATACACTAAGTTAAGAGTGTCATGAATTGAATGTGAATTTCATTAACTTGAGTTTCTTAGAACAGCTATGTCCTTGATATCTTGTTCCACGTGAATGAACCAGTGATGGTGTGGCTAATCTGGTTAGGTCCTGTGATGGTGTCACTGGTGTGGGCAGAGCTGGCACCGAGGTTCGTTGCAGGGTTTGGTTCCTGAGTTAGAGTTATTACGGTGCGGTGTATAGTTGCTGATGAGAATTTGCTCCAGGTTGGCGGGTTGTCTGTGGGTGAGGACTGGCCTGCCTCCTAAGGCCTGTGAAAGTGAGGGATCATTGTCCAGGATGGGTTGTAGATCACTAATGATGCGTTGGAGAGGTTTTAACTGAGGACTGTAGGTGATGACCAATGGTGTTCTGTTGGTTTCTTTGTTGGGCTTGTTAGTCTATGAGGTGCCACAGGACTCCTCGTCACTTTTGAAGTCTTTCTGATGACTCAGGATTTTGGCTGAAAAAGTGACCTGAGGTGAGGTCAGTTTCTTGTGTGATCTAGGAAGTTTTATTTAATACTCATTGAATCAACATAATATCAGTTAGTTAAACCAAGTTTTGGTGTGTCATCTACATGACATGGAGCAACTAATAACAGGTAGAAAGAGGGACAGTTGGGGATAGAAGAATTTGTATTTAGGAAATAAAATAGTACAAAGTTTGATTATATTTCTCTCCTTCAGTCATTGTGCAGTGCATACCAGAAGCCCTGATCTTGCAGAGACTTGTGTGCATGCTTAATTTTGTACAGCAAAAGTAGTTCCATTGTATTCAGTTGAACTATTCAAATTGAGTGAAGTTAAACACATGAATAAATCTTTGCAATATTGGGGAAGTAGGTCTTAAAACTCTTTAAGGTAAGTACTTTCTTTCTCGACATTTGAGCTGTGCTTATCACATTATGGGCACTGCCAGAATAATGTAATATGTTTTTTTTCCTCAATTCTGTACCTGATTCTGTAATCTTTCCTCTTTCTGAGTTAGATGTACTAAGAGTGTTAAATATCAGTTAATTTACTAGTTAAGTAGTGGATGGAATTTCCATCAACTACTCGACTAGTCAATAAGCATTTCTGCATTCCTCCTTTGAAATGTACAAGAGCCCCCACTGGGGACTCAGATGTGCTGCGCTGCCACATTGAAATGCTGAGGCGGTGTTCAAAAGGGGCAGCGCCGCACAGCTGAGCCGGGGAGCAGCTGTGCAGCACTGCCGCTTTGAACGCCGCCTCACTGTTTCAAAGCGCCAGCGCCGCACAGCTGATCCCAGGTTTAGCTGTGTGTCACTGCCTCTTTGAGGTACACCCTCTTCCCTCAGGTGGAGAAAGGGGGGGGGGGAGCGGAGTCAACTATTTGACTAGTCCTTAACATCCTTAATATGTACTGACAATAGTAGTCCAACTAAGTAAAGGTCACTGAATTAAGTCCCTAGTATGGATGCAATAACTTTGTAGCAGTTCTTTAAATTTAATGCTATACATTGGAGGTCAAATTTTATCTGGTATGTTTAGTGGTATGTTTAGTGGTCATGCATGTGTCTGTCCATGCAGTTTCTTCTCCAAAAGATCCATTTATAAATTTATAAATAAGTATTTAATGCTGTTGGGCATCTGTCTAATGTTGGTGGGATAATTACTTGTGTGGAATCAACTTGTAAATGTGTCTGACTCTTTTGTTACTACTACTTTTGTGCCAGGGAATTAGACATGTGGATCACTTTGGGTTCATCTGTAGAGAGTCTTCAGGAAACGGTGGCTGCTACTTTGTCTGCTATGTGTTTCAGTGCACAGATGAAGCCCTGGTAAGAGATGCAAATTAAAGTCCTGATCTGATACAATCTTATGCTTTTCTGTTGTTTGCTCTCAACTCCCATTGCATTTATAAAAATATAATTGTTCTTAAGATTACATGCTTTTAAGAAACTACATTTTTATTGAAGTTGGAATTAGGGATGTTAAATTTAGATTAATCAGCTAATCAAATAGTTGATGGAATTTGCATCAATTCTTCAGTTAGTTAATAAGGGTGCCTACGCCTTTGAAATGTAGCAAGAGCCCTGACGGCTCTGGCTGCATTTCAAAGGTGGAAGCGTTGCAGGGAGAGCAGAGCCAGTGGGGGACTTAAGCAGTCCCCCTCTTGCCTAGTGCTCCTTGTTTTTGAAATGTATGAGCCCCCTTGTTTCCCATCTGCTTTGCTTTTGAAATGTACAAGAGCCCTAGAGATTGACTTTGCTGTGTTGAAAACAACACCAATTTAGTGTAGCAGAAATCACATTTAAATCTTTTGCCTTGATTTTCTCTTTTGTTCTTGTTAGGTTGATGAAATCATGATGACTTTGAAACAGGCTTTCACGGTAGCTGCTGTGCAACAAACCTCCAAAGCTCAGCTCCAACTCTGTGACGGATGCCCTATGCAATGCCTGCATAAGCTCTGTGAAAAGATAGAAGGTAAGTATTAAGCAATGTAGATAATGAAACCTCTTGAAAATGTATTCTGAGTTGCCAAAGTCATATTTTTATGTGTGAACATTGATCTAAAGAAATACACTTTTTTAAAACTCAGGAATATATTAACTTTGGACATTTGAAAGCTGGTCAGTTAATTAAAAAGTAACTTCAGTATAAGGTCAGACAGAGTGCCAGTGTCAAGAATGATCAAATAAAAGCTAAATTGATTCATACTGTGTATTTAATTACATTTTAAAAAGAAATAAAGGTTAAGTATAATTGCATTGAAAATTACACAGTTCTTAAATTTGTAAACAATAAAAAATGGAAATAACTTTTAAATGTGCTTTTAAGGAATATATTGCCCTAGCTGAGGATTGCTTGTTCTGTTAATGAACTGAGATAGATAGAAGAGGTGGTCTGCTCTCAAACATGATGTCAGACAGTGGACCCCTTTGATGTGTTTGAACTATATTTCTGGTAAAAAACAAAGTAATTGCAGTTTACATCCATTGTACAGAAAGTGGCAAAGACTTGAGGCCAGGAACATTTTGCAATTCAGCAAATCTTACAGCTAAGAATTTAGCTATTTAGGGCAGGACTGGGGTGAATGAGGAACAGCAGCAGCTGTCAAATAAATGAAAAGCCACAGTAGCTTGTGGGACCAAGATATATCTTATATTAGACTGTAGGAACAGCAGAATATCCACAACAACACTATCCTGTATTTTGTTTTGGCCTGCAGCTAGCTACAATTCTGAGAGCATTAAAAAGACAATTGAGTCTGATTGACTATTATTGTCCACTTCAGTGTGATGGAGAAATGTATACATCCCGCAATCAGAGGCTTAACAAGTACAGAAACTTTATAGTGGAAAAAGAAATTTAATCAAGAATGAGAAGAGGAAGAACTATTGACAGCCACAGGATTGTCTCCTTTAAAATATCAGTAAATGAATTCAGCAAAGGAAAAAGCTGGAGAATACAGTATTTAATATATCTTGGCAAAACTCTTGAAGAGACAAATTAGAGACAAAGGCATATACGTGAGAGAGTAGCTAATGGCATATAATAAACCCAAAACCTCTACTGCATAAAACTTCAATAATGAGGCTGTTTGCTAAACTACAGCAGATTCTAGGTTCATTCTGTAATACAAAGCCCTGCAGTCTTCTACATCAGCTAAAAAGCCTAATCCTGCACTTTATTCCAGCAAAACTCCTTGATGCAAATGATTGTTTCCTCATTTTACATGTATCATAAAATTAGTACCGTATTTAGAGATGGTTCTATATAATTACTTACAAAAAAGTACACTTCTTTTAAATATATGTACTATAGTGCCTATCAGCTAAAACTAATGCAGATAATTAATTTAAATAGCAATGATTATAACTCTTATTTAATCTTCTGTGTACATCATATGATTAGTGTATTATATTGATTTATAGTTTGCTTATTACTTGTCTGCTTTTTCTTGGTTCATCGCTTATTTAGGGCTACATCCTTCTAAAACTAAACTAGAACTCCAGAAGCATCTAACACTACTCAATAACCAGGAACAGGCCTCTGTGTTTGAGCAGATTCAGGTAATATGTGTATTTTGTTGGCTTGTTTAGTTTCTAAGTTAAAAGTTACATAGCCATGCTCTTGTACAATCTATGTCAAAGCTTGTTTTCCTGAGATTTGTTTGTTAGCTTCTTGCAGTATTTGGTGACAATTGGGAAATCTCCCCGTGTTTTAAATTCTCAGTCATTCACCATTGTTTCTACGGCTGATCAGGTCTTCCGTCTAAACTGTTTTTAATAGAAAACTAGATTTTTGACTAATGGAATTTTTACAAAGTGTCTATAGAAAACTTTACTTTTCATCAAAAAACTAAGCCCCAGAACATTCAATTTGAAGATGTGAAACATTGTTTTGATACTTGTGACCAAAACAAAACGTTTTGACATTTCTGAATTGAACTTCATTTCAGCTTGATTTGATATATGACCTCAATGTAAATATTTTGTTTTGTCGAATCAAATCGGTTTAGTTTTGGAGAAATCTCATGTTAATTTGTGTCCTGCTGAGTTGTCATGTTGTCTCACTGCGTAACAGTTTGGGGCTATGATGCATCATAGGATGAGTAATTTCATCTCATAGAGAATGGGAACATAAGGCACCATGCAGGCAGACTCACTTTAATGCGGAACTAATCCAAAATTAAATATTTTGACAAATTGAAATATTTAGATTTGGGGCAGACTAATCAAAATTGAAAATGTTTGTTACGTAATATAGTAAGACCTGGGAATTTTGAGGTTAATGGGCACTATTGAGTCAGCTGACATTTTGGTAATCTAAAACTTGTCTAATTGCATTGAGGTCCCTAAAACATAATCTATTGAAGATTGTTTGTTTTTATTTTATTGTTAAATTGTAGAAATAATCCCCTGTATGAAATGTAACAAAAAAATCTATCATCTCTTCATGCTTTTTCAATACAGATTGTGGTGGTCTGTGATTCTAGATGCCGGGTGTCCTTAAGGCTCAATATTTTTTTCCTGATTTCCGTTTTTGAGGTCTTTCTAAAAATATTTGCCATGTGCAGAGATGCTTCCAGTCACATATGACATTTGCTCATAATATATCCCAGATATTATATACATAATTGTAAGAATGTCATGAATTAAAAAAAAAAACAAACTTTCTCTTTGTGATATGCACTGTAATAGGTTACCACTTGAAGAAAAGAGTTATTTTCTAATAATTTTAAAGGCTAAGTGGAAATTGGAATAAGCAGAGATTAACACGTTCATCTTGTCTCCTCTCAGATGTTCCTTAATAATAGAATTTTACCTGTTGTAGAACCAGCCATTAATGCATTTCAAACACTATTGTGATTATAACTGAGTTTCCCCGTAACTAAAAGAACGTTTAACTGAGTTGGAGAGTATACTTGTAATTAATTTAATTTAATCAATTGTACATGATTTTTCTAAATGTTTTGAATACCTCTTTGCAAAATATAATAGCTGCACTGAGTATTTAAATTTTAACCATTCCCAAAATTTGAGATTAAAAATCAATAGCAAGATTACAAATATAAGTTGAATTTTTGAAATTCCTGTGTTCCTGTGTTCTCCTAAGGTACTTTTACAAAGGTGATGTTTTATATAATGAAAATTGTATCTTAGTAAAAGGTCAGATGGGTGAGAGAAATATTACATAAGCACTACAGAGCTAAAACTATAATTTTAATTTGTAATCATATTGATAAATGATATTTATACTGAGAGTTCTAGCTATGACAATGTTATGTTTTCTAAAATATGGTTCAAATGACATTTAATAGATTGTAGCCGCTACTGTTAGTCACAGCACCATATGGTATTTGTGAAATATAATCAAAATATGTATTTATGTTGCTGTATTGTTTGAATCACTGGCGTCCTCTAGAGGAATTGTACAGCAACATCAAATAGATTAAACTATTTGGTGAGCATTTACTACACTCTAGCAACCACAAAAGTTAAAATACATGGGAATAATTTCAAAGCTACTATATGAATGCACCTCTTATTTTTCCATGTGTCTGGTTTCTTTTTAAAGAAGTTAAGACCAAGAAATGATCAGAAAGAGAATGAGTTGATTATCTCTGTTCTAAGAAACATGTATGAAGAAAAACAGAAGGATCATGTTCACATTGGGGAAGCAAAGCAGGTACGTAAAATTTCACAAAAAAATATTTTTTCTGCTAACTTCTCGATGGTGAATTTCAATCTTTGTATTTAATGTTAAATTAATACTGAAGTGAAAACCCATTTTGCTTATTCCTAGTGGGATATTTATTATTTAACATGTTTATTAGAAAAGTACCAAGAGTTAACCAAGAGTGTGGTCCAGTTGTTCCATGCGCTGTGCAATCACTGTACAAAAATATCTGTGTCCCAAAGGCTTACAAACTAAACAGACAAGACAGAGACAGGATTTGGGAGAAGAAGTAGAGCACAGAAGCAAAGTGAACAATGGGATTGCAGTAAATGTCATTTTAATACTGTGATTTGGTGTGGGAAGTGACTTTATTTAATAGGAATATTCTAAATCAGTGGTGGGCAACCTGTGGCCCACTGGAATTCTGTGTGGGGTCCAAAAGATATTTTGTTTACCCATGTGTAGGGTTGCCAGATTACTCTGGTTTCTGTCCACAACGTTTTTTTTACCTCCTTGTATTACTAATGTGTCCCACATGTAAAGCAAGGGTATGTGAAATGAGGTGCTAGCTGATTGCACACACTATTGGGAAGCACTTTGGGGCAGGTCTAGGAAGGGTTTCCTCCACCAAACGAAAAGAAAAAATACAGAGATGTTTCCCTGCCCCCTTGCTGCAGGGTGTCATTTTGTTGGCCCCGGGATGTCAGTCCTTTCCCTAAACAGACATTCAGGTTTAGCTTCCTCCCCTGTAGGGAGGAGAGCAGGTTCTTACCCTGGAGAAGCTTATTTTTCTGCTGCCATTAGCCTTACAGCAGTTTGTGTCTCCTCCCTCTCATCAGATGAGGGCTTTGAAAAGGTCTCATACATGAATGAGATTTTCATAGGAGACGAGTGATTTTGAATGTCTCAGTTTTGGAGTACCCACCTTGATACAAGATGAACGGGTATGATTTTTAAGAGAAGACTGAACACCCCTCTCTGAAACTCAGTTCCTATTAAGGTGGCTCAATCTGGTAACCCCAAAACCGAGGCACCCAAAAGCACTAGTCACTTTTGAAAATATTAGTCAACATTTCCTTCAGTTTCTACCAATAGCAGGAAATATATTGCAATGCCTACTCTAGATAGTTTTCTCCTGCTGGTTGGGTACACAGTGAATGCACTGAAGGGTCAGATTCATTGAAGTTCCTATGTTCAACATCTTGGAAATCTGCTTCCTCTAAGTATTCCGAGTTAAAACATGAAGTAATTCGAAAGGCATCACCCACTTTTCCGTGGCTAGCCCTGGTTCATTTTAGTCTCTGGTCTTTCTATTGCTTTTTGGTTAATTATTATCAAAGCTAAAAAAGCTTCACTTTTTTTTCCTCATTTACTGTTTTGTCAACTTTCCTGTCATTTGGGTATCTGACCTGAAATGTGTGAGCTGAGGTAGGACAAAAGGAATTGGTGTTTGGGGGTTTCATTTGGGATTTATATCAATTATTTTTATCCAATAGTTTCAGAGTCTAGACAATTGGCAAGTGGGTGTTTAGGGAGTAAGATGATATCTTATATATATAAACTATATGTGATTTTAATACTGCTGAGACATACTGTAATGTGTTTTTTCAGCTCCTGAAACCAAAAAATATTAATCTGGCCGAAGCTCTATCAGTAAAGTTGATTTGCCTCTCACCAACCTTTCTTCTTAGTAGAAAATATCATAGCTACTTCAATCTTTTATCTTCTGAGCTGTAGAACTGTAAATAACTTTGAACTTCATATCTTACAAATGAAAAACCCAAACACCCTGAATTTTGTTACCTTCTCTCCTGCAATGTTACTCATATTTGCTTTCTGGGTAACGAATCCTACTCTTCAAGTTCTTTGTTAAATTGGAAGAATTAAAATATAAACTACCGCAAAGCTTTAGCACTGTTATGTCTGTAGAAACACAATGCACACACAAATAAGGTTAATATAGCTTTGGTTTAGAAAAGCTTGAAAATGTGTTTGAGATGTCAAAAATCGTTCACTGAATTTTTTGTTTTGTACTACCCTGTATTTTACATGTGCTTTCTTAAATATCACAGGCTTCACAGCCTTTTGGAGAGGCTACAGGAAATGAGATGCCAAGCAGTGCTCCCAGGTTCAGATTAGATATGTTGAAAAGCAAAGCTAAAAGGTCGCTAACAGAATCATTAGAAAGTATCTTGTCACGGGTAGGTATCTTCATTTGTACTTACTATAAATTAATAGCATTTATCTAAGTGACAAACACATAGTTTACATCGACTTTTGTTTCTTTCCAAAGTAAGTTATTTAACAGTTATTAGAGTTCTAGAAATACTTAGGTAAACATGGGCTTTGTAATGAAAATTATAACTTTCATATAGAAGTGAACAAAATAAGTGGATAAAGAAGCAGTAAATACCATTTTGGGGTGGGGTGGGGGAGGGGAACTTTTCAAAAGCTTTCCTAGAGACTATAAAGGAAGCTAAGCAGCTACAGGATTAGCAGTAAATTCTCTCATGGACTTGGAAACTGGTTAAGGGAAATAAAACAAATTGTTCAGTTTTTAATATAAGGAAATTAAATGTGGGCTTACTAAGAACTATTAATAGGACAGGTATTTAAAATAACATTTATTAATGATGTGGGAGAGGGGGTGAACAATGTGGTTTCAAAAATCTGTATATACCCCAGAATTATTTGTGTCAGACCTAGAGAAGATTAGGAGGAACACATTTGGGTGATATAATGGAAGATCAATGAGAAGTCCTGTGGCTCCTAACAGATTTATTGGAGCATAAGCTTTCGTGGGCAGAGCCCCTTCCCACTCCACTGGGGGAGCAGCAGTGCATGGACCCGCTCACTCTGCCAAGCTCCGCAAGCCAGACCTGGGAGGGTGGGGGCTTTCTTCCGCCTCTTTCCCCCTCCCCACCCCCGTGCTCCTCCTAATGGGAGCCAAAGCTGGTGCGGGGACTGGAATGCAGCACTAACATGAGCACTGCAGGCAGCCCAGCTCTAGGCCCGGCAAGTGGTCCTGCCTTGGAAGGAGCTTGGGCCCAACCACAGACTCCAGCCCCACAAACTGGAAGGCAAAACGTGGGGGAGGGGCTCGGAGAGAACTAGGGGGAAGGAGGGTAGGAGAAGCACAGGCTTGTCCTGAAAGGGGGGGGCAGGGCAGGAGAAGAAAGGGGCAGGCACCAAGGGAAAGGGTGGAGGAGAGACAAATGCCAGGGGGCCAAGTGGAAACAATGAGGAAAAGGGCAGGAGGAGAGAGGGGAGGTGTCAGGGAGAGTGGAGGGGATAGCATGATGCTGGGAGAGGGGAAGGGAAGGGCCTTGGGGGCAAGAGGAAACAAGGGGAGGGGGAGGTGCTGGGAGAAGGCTTGAAAGAAGGGGTGGGCACGAGGAAGGCAGGGATAGAGCAAGTCATGTGCGAGGGCACAGAGGGGCATGAGAGGAACTGGGGCAGAGGGTGTTGAGGGGATTGGTATCAGGGAGAAAGAGGGGAAGGAGGAAGCACTAGGAAGGTGCAGGGTTAAGGGAAGGTGCAGGTCCCAGGGGATTCTGGAGGTGAAGCAGAAGGGCAGACACCTGCAGGGGAGAGACCGGCATTGGAGGGGAGAGGGTTCAATGGGGACCAAACTCATCCCCTATGGTGGGAAAAGTTCTTAGAGGGGGTTACTTTTACTTCTGGTCATGTGTCCATCTTGACCCCGAGAGTAACCAGTAACCAGAGATCAGGGGGTGTAGGTTCAAAAACTGTGGCCACCATATGTAGAGAGAACATGGCCATCCTTAAAAGGGGGAATCCTTGGTGTTCCGCATTAAAAAAAAATATTGTTTGGTGTTTCTCGGTCTTAAAAAGTTTAAGAAACACTGAGATAGATAAAAGTTGATAAGGTATATTTTATAAAACAATGAATAGTAGAGAAGATTTCTCATGGAGTCCTATTGATCCTTTCTTATAATACAAGGACTAGGGGGCATTCAGCTTAATTAAGGGCAGGTCAACACTGTCAGTGTGTTGCCAATTTAGCTATCCCTGTATACTGCATTGGCAAAGTACTCCTAGCATGGATGCAGCTCATACTAGTAAAATTGCACTGTTACCAGCATAGCTTATTACAGCTACCAACCCTAAAAGAAAATAAGCTCTCCCAGCCAAATCACAATTTTACCAGGATAATTGTGTTTTCCGTGGACATTTTTGCTGGTACAGATGCATTTCTAACAAATCACACTTCACCACTTCCCTGAACAATATAACTATGCCAGCAAAAGTTTGTTGTAGAGAATGGACTAGAAAAATAAAAATAAATATGCCCTTACCAAACATAAGATAACTTTTAAAGATCTCTGCCACAGATTATAAAGGCCTAATTTATATTAGGAGAGTTTTGCTGGGACAGTCCTCATGTACATTATTATATCAGTGTAGAAGTGTTTGATTGGCATAAGCTATACTGGTGTAAGTGCAGTTGTAGATGGATATGTTATGCCACTATGATAATGTAGTGGGGAGTACACTTAAAACATTTGCAGATATCACTGCTTTTTTCAGAATTCAATGTGAGCTTGACAAATTGAGAATTAGTTTGAACTCAGCAAGATGAAATTCATTAAAGTTAAATGTGAAATGCTACACTTGGGAATGAAAAATTAAATGCACAACTACAAAATGGGGAATAACAGGCTAAGTGGTAGTACTGCTCAAAATGAGCTGGAAGTTGTAGTGGGTCACAAACAAACTGAGTCAACAAGGCGATGCAGTTGCTAAAAAAGCCAAGTAGTATTTTGGGTTGTATTAACAGGAAAGATGTGTATAAGATACAGGAGGCAATTGTCTCACCCACCTTAGCACTGGTGAGGCCTCAGCTGTAGTACTGTGACCAAGTCTGGGTGCCACACTCTAGGAAATGTGTGAACTAATTGGACAGAATTGCAGAGGAGAGTGACAAAAATGATAGATCAGGTTTTCTAAATATCTTTGAGGAAAGGTTAAAAAAATGGGCATGTTTAGTCATGAGAAAAGACAACTGAGTAGAGACCTGATAACCCTCTTGAAATACATTAAGAGCTGTTATAAAGAGCATGGTGATCACTTCTCCATGTCCACTGATAGTAGGACAAGAAATAACAAGTTTAATCTTCAGTAGGGGAGATTTAGGTTAGATAATAGGGAAAGCTTTCTGTTCTAACTATAAGGGTAAATAAGCTCTGGAATAGGCTTCCCAAGGAGAATACCTTCTGTAGGAGGTTTTTAAGAACAGTTTGGACAAATACTGGTCAGGAAAGTTTACTTGGTTCTGACTTTGTGCAGGAGGCTGAACTTGATAACTTCTCAAGGTTTCTTCCAGCCCTGCATTTCTATGATTCTTTTAATATAACTGCATCTACATTTATTGGTATAGTGCTGTCGGTTAAAAAAAAATCAGGCCCTTACTTAATATAACCATATTGATAAACTTTAAGTGTAGACCAGGCTTCAGGCAAAAAAGTTAGTAAGATTCAGAAAAAAAATAGTAGTTATCCATGGCAGTGATTCAACAAAGAATTCTATTGTAGTAGGAATGCAACTTCATACAGAACTTTAACCTTAGTGCTTTAGAATATAAGCCAAGTATTAGCTGCCTGTAGTCAAGAGCATATTTGCTCTGGAGATGTTCTGTTGCAGGACTATCCATTAAGAAAAACTAAAAAAACAACAAATAGTCTAATAGCACCTTAAAGACTAACAAAACATGTAGATGGTATCCTGAGCTTTTGTGGGCACAGCCCACTTCTTCAGATAATCGGAGTGTTTGAAGTCCAGATCCAAGAACAAATAAAGGAAAGAGGGAGGGAGGGAGAAGGGAAAAAAAGGGGAGAATCTTCTTGGATCTGGACTTCCAACACTCTGGTCATCTAAAGAAGGGGATTGTGCCACGAAAGTTCATGATACCGTCTACATATTTTGTTAGTCTTTAAAGTGCTGCTAGACTATTTGTTGTTTTTTAGGTTTCTATATGTTCCTCTGGGTAACCTAATCAGGATGTTGTTGAAGAGACTGTAGCAAAGTCCATGGATTTTCACTCTGATCTAGAGAAATGTTAATCAGTATATGAGAGGTGATGTATGTTTGGAAATTCTATGTGAGACCAATGTGCTGATGTAGTCTTCAGTCCTCTGTACTAGTCAAAACTAGAGCTGTTAAATGACCTGCTTTAACGACGGTGATTAATGCAGGACAGGATTAACGCATTAATTTTTTGAATGTGTTAATTGCAGGCATTAATGCTGAGCTGCCCCAGGGATCAGCTGGAGTGCCCAGCTGATCCCTGGCTCCCTGTTGCAAAGCCCCCTTGAAGTGGTGCTCCAGCACTTCAAAGGGGCTTTCCCACAGTGGAGCTGGGGATCAGCTGGAGTCACCAGATGATCCCGTAGCTCCTAATGCACTTCCCCTTGGAAACGCCACTGCAGCGCTTTCAAGGGGCAGTGCTGCATGGAGCTTGAGTCAGCTGGGGATTCCAGCTGATCCCAGGCTCCATGCAGCACTGCCCTATTGTTTCAAAGGGGAGGCGCACGCGATTAATCGTTATTTAATTTTTTTAATTGCTTGAATACCCTGGTCAAAACCTATCTTTACATTATGATGGAGGAAACCTACTGTGAAAATTCATTTCATGGTCTGAGGGAGGTGCTGTGATAATATTTATAAGTCAATTGGAAGCATATAATTATTCAAACAGTTTTCACATGTGTATATTTTGTGGAATATGATGCTACCATCAAGAATCCTAGTTGCAAAATAAAAAAAAACCAATTTGACCTGCATGAATGCATTAATTGCTATGGTCCTTAAAATATCCATGGCTTCCTGAAGGAAACAGCTTTTTGTCATGGAGAGGAAAGTTATTCATAAACATTTCAGGAAATTGAATTTGATACTGGCAGAATTGGTGATATGACTGTTGGAATACAATTTTTGTGTTCTAATTTTGATTGCTTCATATGCTTTATTTCTATAGGGTAGTAGAGCCAAGGGTTCATTAGAAAGTTCTGGAAGTATAGATTTGGACAGCTCCTTATCCAGTACATTAAGCAGCACAAGTAAAGTAAGTAATCACTATAATGATTAAATAAACTAAGTATCTTTTGATAACCTTTTTTGTAACATTTCTTACAATCATGTGATGTGTAGGTGTAATCATTCTATTGTAATGCCTTATATTTGTTATTTTTTCATGAATAAAAAGACTGATGGATTGTGTGAGGGGGAAAAAAACAGAACACCAGATAGGAAAAATATAGCAATACAATTTGGTGCTAAGAATGTGTTTGTGTCTGCCCAAGGGAGTTCTGTTCTTGAATGCTGATCCAGAGGGCAGATCCTCATTCCCATGCAGTGTGACACTGACATCAGTGTGCCCATAATATCAACATGCAAGATCCTAAATTCTGTCTTCTTCTCTCCCTACATTGAAACTACTCAGGTGTGCTCTCCATCTTAAAATATATCAGAATTCCCTGAGCAATGGTATGATCATAAACTACATCCTTGGGCATCAGATTACCACTCTACCATGGAGCACATACAGGTATCATTAAACAATAGCAATCCATACTATAGAGGTCCCACATCCAGAAAGAAAACTTTCACAAACCCTTTCTTCATGCCTTCAAACAGCACTCCCTCCCACTTTGCCAAGCTAATCCCCAGAAGCAAACTCCCCACAGACCAGGTCAATGAACTCAAAGGAGCCCCAGACCCTGCCATCAGAGCAGATGCAAAATCCATTGACATATCTCCACTGCTGTAATGATTAACACCCTCTCCCCAACACATATTTCAAGATCCATGGGTCCCATACACATTATGGAATCATAGAGTCCTAGGGTTGGAAGAGACCTCAGGAGGTCATTGAGTCCAGCCCCTTGCCCAAAGTAGCACCCACCCCAATTAAATTATCCCAGTCAGGGCTTTGTCAGGCTGAGGCCTACAAACCTCTAGGGATGGAGATTCTACCACCTCTCTAGTAGATTCATATTCACAGATGCAGATTCAGACTATCACGGCTACCCCTCTGATACTTGACACCACCTCCCTAGGTAACCCATTCCAGTGCTTCACCACCATTTTAGTGAAATAGTTTTTCCTAATATCTAATCTAGACCTCCCTCACTGTAACTTGAGACCCTTGTTCTTTGGAACCTCCCTTCAGGAAGTTGAAGGCTGCTATCAAATCCCCCCTCACTCTTCTCTTCTGCAGACTAAATAAGCCCAAATCCCTCAGCCTCTCCTCGTAGGTCACGTGCTCCAGCCCCCTAATCATTTTGGTTGCCTTCTGCTGGACCCTCTCCAATGTGTCGGCATCCTTTCTGTAGTGGGGGGGGGGAGGGCGGCAGAATTGGACACAATATACCAGATGTGGCCTCACCAATGCCGAATAAAGGGGAATAATCACTTCTCTAGATCTGCTGTCAGTGTTCCTCCTAATGCACCCTAATATGCCATTAGCCTTTTTGGCTGCAAGGGCACATGGTTGACGCATATCCAGCTTCTCATCCACTGTAATCCCCAGGTCCTTTTCTGCCTAACTGCTACTTAGCCAGTCAGTCCCCAGCCTGTAACAATGCAGGACTCTACACTTGGCCTTGTTGAACCTCATCAGATTTCTTTTGGCCCAATCCTCTAATCTGTCTAGGTCACTCTGGACCTTATCCCTACCCTCCAGTATATCTGCCTCTCCCCATAGCAAAGTGTCCACAAACTTGCTGAGGGTGCAATCTATCCCCTCATCCAGGTCATTAATAAATATATTGAACAAAACTGGCCCTAGAACTGATGCTTGGGGCACTCTGCTTGAAACCAACAGCCAACCTGACATCGAGCCGTTGATCACTACCCGTTGGGCCTGACAATCTAGCCACCTTTCTATCCACCTTACAGTATCCAATCCATACTTCCTTAACTTGCTGGCAAGAATATTGTGGAAGATTGTATCAAAAGCTTTCCTAAAGTCAGTGTATATCACATCCACTGACTTTGCCATATCCACAGAGCCAGTTACTTCATCATAGAAGCTAATCAGATTAATCAGGCATGACTTGCTGTGGGTGAATCCATGTTGACTATTCCTGATCACTTTCCCCTCTTCCAAGTGCTTCAAAACGGATTCCTTGGGTATCCCTTCCATAATTTTTCCGGGGACTGAGGTAAAGCTAACTGGTCTGTAGTTCCCCGGATTGTCCTTCTTCACTTTTTTAAAGATGGGCACTTCATTTGCCTTTCCCATCATCTGGGACCTCTCCCAATCTCCACGAGTTTTCAAAGATAATGGTCAAAGGCTCTGCAATGACAATTGCAAATTCCCTCAGTACCCTCGGATGCATTAAATCTGGACTCATGGATTTCTGTATGTCTAACTTTTCTAATTAGTTCTTAACTGTTCTTTTTCCACCGAAGGCTGCCCACCTCCTTCCCATTACCGCATTAGTCTGGGAGCTGACCTTGTCTGTGAAGACAGAGGCAAAAAAAGCATTGAATACTTTAACTTTTCCCACATCATCTGTCACTAGGTTACCTCCTTCATCCACTAAGGAACCCCACACCCTCTGTGATCACCCTCTTATTGCTTACATGCCTGTAAAAACCTTTCTTGATACCCTTCACATCCCTTGCTAGCTTATCCATGGGTCTTATACATTATCACAACTTTTGATGTACCTCTTCTAGTGCATTAAATACCCTGATAATAATTGTGTGTGTGAAATCAGGTAATAATAAAGGGAATTTCTACAAGGGAAATGGCAAGAGTTTTTCCATTGGCATATGTGGTAGTTAGACATTCACTGGGGTGGTGTCTTTGCAAGGCCTTTTGTTCTATTAATGATGATAACTATTTTGCTGCATGTGTTTGCTCCTCTTATGTGTTGTGTTGACTTTGCACATGGAGTTAACACAGCAGACTCTGAGGGAGCCCCCGAAGACCACAAAATTTGATATGGATCAAAGGCCCCAGGCCAGGTGTATTGTCAAATGAAGTACAGTAATAGTTGTCAGTAGACTCTACCAAACTACTACACATATGTACCGTAATTTAGCAAATATATCCCGCATTTGAATATACTCCGCACCCAAATATACCCTGCGGTTTTTTCTATTTGAGTAAAAAAAATCTTGTATACCCCGAGCACGAATATAACCTATGGGGTATACAAGACTTTTCTGTGCCGGGAATATATCTGCTGGGGGTATATTTACAGTGCGGGGGAGGGGGAGGATTAGCCACTCACCGCCCCAGGTTCCAGCGCAGCTTCCAGCCTCCAGGCGGGGAAGCACTTCTCCCACAGGTTCCTCCACAGCCGCAGGAAGGGGCGGGGGGGCAGGACCCACCAGCCTCTGGGCGGGGGAGCACTCACTGCCTGGTTCCTGCACAGCTGCAGGAAGGGGCAAGGAGATAAGCGCTCCCCCACCCCTTCCTGCGGCTGCGCAGGAACTGGGGAGTGAGCG